AAAAACACATATTACAGACTTACCTTTTAGAGAATTAAGGCTAATATCAACCACATCGCACTCTCCCATGCATGCACGTCATCATTACCTAACGTTCAGCTCAACCTTTTGCGTCATGTCCGGATTATTTCAATACAGCGAATGCTCAAGCTTTGAGTCCAATACGTCATATCATGAAGCCCATTATTGTAAGATATACGTTTGTTCTGTTTGTTTTAAACGTGCTTCATAATTCCTGGTGGTGTCTAGCTCATGTTCTCAGTGACATACACTCGACTTAAGATGGACGCCATTCCCTTGAAAAATACTGGCACAAATCATGACTAGGTTCATCCATCAGATTGTATTTCCAAAAACACCATCCCCACCTGCCACTCACCTGCACACAATGCTTCCTGCATACATGGAAACCCACAATCCACCGTTCAAACTCTAAAACAGTGTTTGTGTCTCTGTGTATCTTATACATACTAAAACATACCTAATCCCACACTGTGCATGCCTTTACATTCATTGCTGTAATGTTGTGGTAACTGCATTTGACTGTGATCTATATGTCAGTGTTTGTGCCTGTGCTATGAGTCTGTGTTAAGTGTTGTGGAATGACTGACATTGCTATATCTATGAGGCTGCTTCTCACTGTAAACAGTTCGCTTGCGAGTGTTTTTACCGAGCTTATTCACTCACAAACATAAAAACACTAATTTCCACAGAGTTGACTAATGTGTTTCACCCATGGTGTGTGTTAGTTGCTTATAATATGCACACAAAATAAGTGTCCAAGTCAACCCTGCTAACCTGGATCTTTGACAGTTCACTCATTAGTTAAAAGGAATTGTGACTACAGAGAACTACAGTTCTTACATGCTGAATATATCCCAACATGCATTTATCCTACAATTTTGGAAATGAGTAATCTTCCGCTGTATTGCTACTCTTTTACTGTGCTCTAAAGCATCTGAACACATCTTGGGATGGTGTCTGGGTGGGTGACGTCTGGGCATGCTTGTAATGATAGTACTGTACATTTAAGGACAAATGGATCAAGGTGCTCTTACAACTGGGAGCCAGACTAAAATTTTGTCATCCTTTTGACAAGCTATTTCCAGATGAGTGTCTGAGGCCCATTTCATTCATAAAAGGGCAGCTGTATTGCTTTACCCTTTTTGGCCGATATACAAATATATATATATATGTTCTACAAGAAGTTTGTATGAAAGAGTTCTGTCATTGGAATCAATCACATCTCCACAAGTTCAAAACTGACAGTAATTATAATGCTGCATATTGACAAAAATAGAAACAATGTTCATTGTCAGAACTCTTCCATAATGGTGACGTCTGTGGTTTTGACCCTGTCTGATATTTCATATAATCCATGTAGATTTAGCATGAGAAGAGCGGGCACTTCCTTGTGTATCACCTTCTTTGGTACACCTAAAACAGCTGACCTCTTCTTCGCTTGTGGTTTGGATGGGAATTGCCGGCCTACTCGTTCTAACTCTATACAATGATCTGTGGCTCTGTAGCTCAAAGCTCTCATATTTCCCTTTTGTTGTGTTTTTGTAGATAAGTACTCTGTGTTGAGGGGTGTAGCGGGCGAGGGGGAGAGAGAGGGAGAGAGCAATACAAAATGCCATTTAAACATCTCCCCTTTCCAGGTATATAACGACTGTGTGAATGTCTCTCTGAGGACACAAACACGGAACGACCTACTTAACTGTGTGTGCTGACTGACTGCCGTGTCTTTCTTCTCGCTCACCCCCCACCCGTCTGTCTCTCCAATTGACTTCTCTTTCTCCCCCACCTTACGATCCTTCCATCTGCCTGACCTTGTCTGTCTCTCATCCCTTCTCTGTCTCTGCCCGTCTGCCGATTGTCTGCCTGTGTGTCTATTTGGCTTGTTTTTTTATTTTGGTTGGTTTTAATCTTCCCACTCAACTTGCATGCACACACACACACACACACACACACACACACACACACACACACACTTACCAACACATTGATATGAATTACTTCACATCTCTCTCCCATCAAACTCTCTCTCTCTTTTATCTCTCTCCTTCTGTCCCTCTTGCCCACACACACACACACATGCACGTCACACGCTCACACCAGACGCAGGCAGATCGCCCATCTGCCAGGCAAGCTGCTGATCCTTGCCCTCACAACCCCAACGAGCACCCTCTCTCCTTGGGCGGTCAGACCCAGAACCAGAACCCCAACACCGCTAACACCACTGCCCCCACCGCCACCCATTACCAGCACCCAGCATGCTGCGACCTCCCCTGTGCCCTGATTGTGCAGCACTCCTATGAACCCACCAACCCCTCCAAGCTCACCCCAAAAATGAGAATGACCACCTTCACCACCTCACCTCCCACTCCAAGGTTATACATACAATAGAGGATATAAATAATATATTGGTTAGTAATGCTTGAAGACAGATGCTGTTAGAAATGTGATGATTTATGAATGGTAATTTGTTAAGAGGAAGTATGGACATTAAGGAGCAGGGTTCAAACTGTGGTTCTCACAGTATAGCAAAGCTCTCTGCTGGATGCAAATGTACCTCTTTCGAAAAACGTTTTTATACACCTGGCATGTTGCCAGTTGCCTATGTGTGCAATGATGCCTTGCTGCCATTAGAGGGTGCTGTCTCTCTATCGAGAAGCAAATAGAGCATCATCTTTGACCAGACAGTTGAAGTTGCATGTTCTTTAAAGGTATATATGCAAGTAAAGGCCTTCAAATAAGTATTTATTTTATGTAACAGAGATTTTTTGCAAAACCTCTTCTTACAAAATGAAGCCAAAAATATTTTGCTGTGTGAACTTAGCTTTGAAGTCCAAAGTAAGGCCTTTGCATTACACAGTAAATTACAGATCCATATTTAAATACATTTCATATATTATACATAAGAATAGGTTCTGATCATTTGGGTGATTCAGTGTCACTTTTATTCTGTAATGTTTCAGTGCGCTTACTGGAGAACGCCTCCCTTCACAGTAACATAAATGCAGTCAGGTCCTACAATCTTTCTCCATAAAAACCTTCCACTCTTCCTCGCCTCGGCCCCTTTCGATCACTCCTCGTAGTTACCCGTTAGTGTCCTCTCACTGACAGCACACTGACCATTTGTGATTCACTCTTCTCTTTCACTCCCCTTCATTTTTTTGGTACCAACTCTAACCTTCGGATATTCCCTCCCTCAAACGTTCAGTGTGTGTATGATAGTGTCACGACAAGCACTAGCGCCCCCTCGTCCTCTCCTTCCTCCCACTGTCCCTTCCTTAGATGGCAACCAGGGGGCACCACTGTTGGTCCCCTCTATCCATGAACTACATACAGTAGGTCCAGAGCCCCCTCGAGACCCGAAGGACACTCAGGTAACTCTGTCTTTACCCCCAGTAATGTGACTCCCCTCCTCACAAAACCCTGTTGGACGTTTCCCAAACAGTGTTTCCATGAAGTGTGAGATAAGACACCTAAAATGAAATGACACCCCACACTCTCCACCCTCTACCTCTGAGACCCTTACCCTCCATAAAGACCAGAGAAGCACACGTATGCAAACGTTTTAGTAGTTTTGGAAACTCTCTCCAGCACCTAACTCCTTTCAGCTAAGCCTTCTCCTCTCTATATCCTCACATCATTCATTGCCCCCTCACACCACTGTCCCCTATCCAGTAAAAGCATGAAACACCTCTCACTGAGTGTTACCATCCGTTAGACTGTGTGGATAAGTTATTTATAGGTGAATAGAGTGATTATAAGTTTCATTTAACGTCTACTCTAAGTTAAGTTGAATCTTAAGTTAACGTTTGCGCTTTGTCTTGAAATTGTTAAGATTGTTAAGACTATTAAACATTGTTTGATTGAAGTTGGATAATCTACATTCTATGATGCAGTTGATTAACAAGCTATATGTGGCCCAGAAAAAAAACGTCACTTGAAAATGAGATGTCAATCTCAATGTGAATCTTTTTGGCATGATGGCCTGAATGCAATGGTGACAAAAAGCCGGAAAAATACAAAAAACATTATTGTTGAGCATTTGGACTGCCTTCCGTTATATAAGTTGTATTTGTAGTGTACTGTTATCATATTGACAATAGACCAAGCACTCTGGAATCGCAGAGCACAAAGCATGATGGCGGTGTGTTTTCTGTGTGTATTCCAGATTATCTGCACTCCCTTAAAGACCTTGTAGAAGTGTGTGTATGTTTCTCTCTTTCAATATCCTGACCACAGCTCAGAGTGTGCTTCTCTTCCCTCCATCTCTCCCCTCCTCTCTTTTTGCTCTCCCTGCTTCCTGTCACATCCATGTTTCCCTGTGACCACCAAACATGTTTTTATTACTTTTACATTGTGTCACCCTCACTATTGCAATTAACCTTAACTTGAACCTCATTTTTAATTGTGCCAAAACCTTCGTTTGGCCACATGCATGCCATCTTGTCTTCATCATTTCATCATTTCGTCACCTGCGTTGTCCAACGCCCTTCTCCTGCTTTCACTATTATTCTTACTATCCATTTATACTGGATGGATGGTTGACATCCCTATTGCTGATTCTCAATACAAATACACCCCATCCTTGTCCATTTCCCCTTTTTCAAAAATATATCCTCTCTACACGTACTCTGTTCTGTTTCCTTCACTGTTCTCTCTATTTCCTTACTCCTCTATTTGCACTGCCTTCACTCCTATTCCTTTACCTCCTCTCTCTCCTTTTATTCCTTTATCCACCATCGCCCACTCTTTCATCCTGTCCTTCTCTTCCCTTCTCCCTCACCTCCATCGCCAACCCTTCAACACTGACCCCGGGATATTTCTCCTTTCTCACCCCTTCTCATCCTTCCTTTCCAACATCTTCTTTCCCACCGAATATTCTTTCCAAATGGCCTCCCTTCGCATTAACCCCTCTTACCTTCTACCATTTCCCATCACCGCTTTCTCCTCTCCGTCCTACTCCTGCCCCTCCCCACCTGCAGGACGATAAGGAGATCGACCTGGAACACCTACACCGCCGGGTTAACAGCTTGTGCACCGAGGATGAAAGCCCCCACAAGCAGTTCTCCACCTCTTCCGTCGATTTAACACCCCTTGACATGGATGCGCTGCCTGCTGCGCGCCAGGCACTCGAGCAGATCAGCGATTTCCGCAACACCCACATAACCACCACCACCTTCATCCCCGAGCAGATCCAGACCCTCAGCCGCAGCCTATCTGCCAAAGCCGCTGCTGGATTTTCCGCTGGTTTCGGTAGCGGAGGCGTCCTCCAGGACCACCGGACTGGCGGGGTGGGCCCTTTCAGGCAGAGGGCCCCCAACGGTGGCTTCTTCCGCAGCCCCATCAAAACAATGTCCTCCATCCCCTATCAGCCCACAGGTCCAGGACCCAACTTTGGATATGGCAATGATCCAGACAGGGGCACCTCTATATGAGGGGCTGCTTAGAATATGGTTGGTTCAGGAGGAAGAAAAGGAGGAGGAGGAGCAGAAGGAGGCAAGGTGGCTAGGGTCGGTCATGGGATGATTCAAATACATTGTGGCTAAGCTAAAAGTCAGAGGATAGAGATGTGTACATAGGAATCTTTATGTTTTCAGTTTCTGCTTGGGTGTTTCCAGGGGCGTCCATTTTATATGTAGAGAAGATGAAGGAGGTGGAGGTCTATGGGGGGCGTTCCTTATCGTCCTGCAAACCGTGCTGGTGAGGTGCAAAAAGCAAAGGAGTGGTTTGAATCTTTGCTTTATTGTTGTTGTTCTTGTGATCGTTTGGGGGATTCTTTTTGGGGAAATGTGTGAAAGGGGATCTTTTTTTATTGCTTCTGTTTTATGAAATGAGGACCGCCTCATGTAACGGAGATCTGCTGAAATTACCTGACTATTATTATCTTAACCCCACCTCGGAGGGTTTACTTTATGCTCGTCTGACCACAGGAAACACGTCTATATTCCTGTGAGCTCCAGGGCTGCCATTGGCGGATGACTGGTGGTGTCGTTAGCCATTAAACAACTCCAAGGGGCTCACACAACTAAGCAATTATTGAATCGTTTATTTTATTTATGAAGGCGTATATAGCAGTAGTTTTGTCCATAGCCCTGGGAATACAGACAACAGCCCCTTGTAGTTTTGAAAAGGCCCCATCTCAGTGAATATCGGAAGATTCCACTTCTACTCTGCCTTTTCACTATGCGGGAGTCCATACCGAGTTTTCTCTTCTCTGGTGTTGTTTCACCAATACCTGGGGATCTAAATGTGTTATGGGGTCCACACAGTGGCCTGACTTGACCTAAGACTGAACACACGCTGACCCCAACATGGAGCATCGGTCTGAAAACTGACGACTAAAAAACTGCTGAAATGCCATGACAGTGCAACAACATGACACTGAATCACCAGTGTGGTGCGTCGATCTTAAACTATTTCTGCCATTTTGGTGCATCACCTTGAAACGGTTTTCACCACTTTGATGCACATTACAGACCCTTTGTCAACCCCACTGCACTGTACCAGTGCCCACAGACCTGTAAGTGATTGTATGTAGATCTGACCTTTTCTTTTCTCACCTGTACTGTGCTATCTGCTTTTCAAGTCAAGGTGAGATCCTCTCGTCAGACTCTCAGAGGGATAGCAAAAGGGATGATACAAAAAAACGTATAGAAAAAAAAAAACATAAAAGACAAGCCGAAAGACTTCAAAAAGCGTATGCTTATTATATGTCTTTTATTGAATTCTGTTTTTTGAAAGAAAAAAAAAAGATTTTAATGCGTGGAATGTGTTGGTCAGGAAGTACAAAAAAAAAATAGTTCTGAGCTGTCTACTTGTTTCTTTCTCTCAGCCAACTTAGAAAAACTGCTAAATGAGTGCTGTAGTCTCTGGTTTTGCATCATTACGTCAAACTTTTACTTTTTGATTTTTTTTCTTTTGTTTTGCTTCATTATAGCGCTGCCATAGCTCGGTTGTTTAAAAGAAAAAAACTCATTTTGTACGGTCATGTCCTGTTCGAGTTCATTATTCACTTCTTGTCAGGTTCAAGTGGGGAAATGGTTGATTTTGTGTTGAGGAGAAGCCATTGCAACAGCATCTTCAGTACAAGCCTTATATGTCAACTAGCTATAGCTGCACCCTCCCAACTTCAGCAAATACAGCTTTCGGGTCACGGGAATGTCACGAAGAGTCAACGGCCATTGGAACCCAATGGCTGCCTTTGAGACGAGTCCGAAATTCTATTTCATATCTGTAATGTTAAGGGTACTGTTTATATAACTTGTTTTTTTTAAAGTGCCAATTAATTCAAATGAGACCATTGAGGTGAATTTTGGGGTGGGGAAAGGGAATGGTACATTAAGAGTATGAAAGGAATACTTTGTGGATTAGGGGCTGGGGTCGTAAAATGGAACCAAATCTTTTTCACTAACACTGTATTAATAATTGATAATGTTAGCTGTTTAGAACAAGTTTTCAGTTTATCTTTAAGAACTAAAACCGCAAAATGTTGTGCGTAGAGAACTCAGTCAAGCCACAGTGTTTTGAAGCAAGCATTCTTAGGCATTCTTTTCTTATATTAGGCTACAGTATGGCTATTGAATGACAAATAGGACACAGACATTTAAAAGGTTTTATTTAGTATAAATGAAAGAGACATTATAAAAATGTATATTTTACATGTTGATGCTATTTTTGTTTAACAAAAAGAGAAGAATATATCATGATGAGCTTTAGCGTTGAGTTTAGCAGTCACATTACTGCGTTTGGTTTTCCCTCGTTCTGCCCACGGTCAACATAAACACATCAACACGAACTCTTTGCTTTTCTCATGTCATCCTGAGTTAATTTTATTATTTGCTGGCTAAATAACAAAAAGTGGCAAGTTGATTAAAAAGAAAGCATGCACAAACTTGCTCTTGCGCTATCTGTTAACATTTTTAATTTCATACATAGAACTACAGGATTTACTTGATCATTTTCAAAACTTTATGATGTACAGTATTTAATATAGGCCTATTTTGTTGTATGTGTTGCATATTATTCAAAAACTGAACAAACTGGGGCCTCTGTTACAAGTGGCAAAGCTTTCTGTGTATAATTTGTCTAATAAACAGGTTTTCTACAGTGGGATGGTATTTGTTGTTTTTGTAATCTAGACATACATGAAAAGTGGTGCATTTCAGAAACACAGCAATGACTCCAAGTGTTGTTCTACTTCATGCTAAAATGATTTAGTTGTTTCTTTGTTAGCTCCAAATATCTGTACATTTCTTTCCACAGCGTTCTGTTTTCAGGCTTGTCTTCTACTTTTCCAATACAAATGGTTACAAATGAAGTCCCAGATACTGGTAAGTAGTCATGCTTTCATCAAGAGTTTTAGATTATCTCCTTCACTCTCTTTTATTTTATTATTCACATGTATCATTAGGAAACGAATTACATCTGATTTGTTTATGTGGAGGCTGAGAAGAATCCAGTGTTAAAGGTCCATGATATGAAATTGAGAGCATTTTGATTGCACTCAGCGGCTCTCAACATGGCCACGCATGAGCCGACGGCTCATAGCTAATGGTGGCAACAGAGCTAACAGTAAGAATATGGCAAATGTGCTGACAGTGCTAACAGCGTCTACCTGAGGGGGAACTTTGTTAACTTTGTCACGGGGTAATTTTAACCTTTTCATTTTCAAAGAGCCAATTGATCCAGAACACATACACCAGTAACATGGATTGATGCTGGCAAGGTGTCATTTAATAATGGATGAAAAAGGATTCCATCCCTTGTAGTACTTGTAGCTTCAAATTATTAAATAGATTTAAGGAGGGAACATTTTGTGGGAGTGAAGATAAAAATACAATTGCCAACATTTTTAAATGGGTTTTAGTGATCTGAGATGATTTAATGTGTGAAAAGGAGTTTGAGTATGAGCTAAGCTTTTGTCTCTTTCACTTCAAATAGACTATCACTTCAAAGGCCTGTGTACTGCTGTTAACAGCTGGATAGACACACTGCTGAGGACGACTGCTGTCAAGTTCAGTGGAGCACTACATTGTAATGCTCAATTTTAACCAGTGGGTGACACTATTTAGCCCTCAGAGCTCCTGTATTTCAGACTTTACATATATGCTTTATAACCAAATTAATGTCAGATATTTCCCAAATTTGTGGAAGAAATTGATTGAAACAGATGGTTCATTTAATTCCACTGGACACAGCTGCGCGGCAACCAACTTGACCCCAAGTTAGACATCATCTTACAAGTCAGAGGAGAGATCAAAGTCGCCATCTTCATAGCCTCCAGTCATTATCATAATAATCAACTCTACTTTCTCCCTATAGGGAGTAAACATGGACCTGAAGTCCTCATGCTCTCCGTTTTGTTTGGTGAAAGTGTATTTGCACTTTAATTGTTTTGACAGTTTCAGGGGATGAGCAAAATATACTTAGTTGTTGAGGACACAAAACAATAAACTGTTTTTTTTTAGCAAGACCTATCTATAGATAAAATACAACACTTACAACTATTTTCAGTAAATGTCCTGCATTCATAATTTTACTTAAGTATAAGTATTACTAGTAGAAGCAAAATATAGGCCTATGTATCTAAACATGTGTTCTGTTATATCTTACATCAGTAAAAATTAGAACATTATATATTGCGTATTCTTACAATATCTAGTTACTTTCCAATTATACTCGACTTTTGGTGTTATATGTCAAACTAAAGTTTAGTGACAATAAGTTCCCTTGGTATGGCTTTTAGAGCTTCACAATATATTCATATTTTAGCATCTCGTTGGATTTAGTGAGTTTAGGAAAGGCTAGAGTGAAGTTTAGAAATCCCTGTGCAGCTCCCCTCACTTCGGTCTCGTGCCCGTCGCGCCCCTGTCTCCCGGGAGATGGGAATGAGAAGCGGCAGCACGCAGACTCCTCTCGCGCATTGGAATGGGAGCCTCCCTCCCCTCTCCCCCGAGGAGCCCCACAGGCGTGACCAATGGAACATAGAGTCTCCATTGTGGCAGCGACACTTTAATAATCGCCAGCTACAATATCCAACCTGTCGGTAGCTTCAGGAGCCCGGCCCGGCCCGTTGGATGGGGGGCTTGTAGGTGGGAAGAGGGGGCAAACGCTCGGCGCCAGACCTCTAGCCCGCAAGACGTCCCCATGATGAATACATGAATAAAAAATAGAAAAGATTGATGTCCGGTTATCTCTGAAATAATGGCAGTTTCTCCCGACAAATTGTGTTTCTCCCATGCACAATTTCCAGCTCCTTCTATTTTAGAAGTCTCCTCTGTTTAGAACAAACCCCATATTTCTAACCATTCTTAAAGAAAAATGCCATGTCAAAGTTGGGATGTGTAATTGATAAGATAATGGCCTGCTGCTTATGATGCTTTCGTTTGGCCTGGAAGTTGTGCTAAAGTTGTGAAAACTTAGACTGCAGGGGTAGTAACAGGTCATTGTGCGTCAAACATTGGGCTACTGTATTTAACAGATGAGGCTGCATCCTTATCCTAAATCGACCGTGGCAATTAGGTTAAATAGCCAATTTCTACCCAGCAATTAGCTCATTGTTCATTTGCCAGGGAAGGCCTACAATTTGCATCTCAGTGGTCGCTTTGATCAGTGTACTGCAGGTGAAAAAAATAAACTTTGGACAAATTAAAGGTAGGCTATTAGCTATTTGTTCAAAGTCTATTTTGCTACCTGCCTACAATGTTACTTTTTAACTTGTGTTCGCAACTCTTATTGAAATAATTTGATATCAGAAATATTGTATATTCAATACATCATGTTTTGTCTGTGAGTATTTGCATATTTCTCTCTCTCTTTGTGTGTGTATGTGTGTGTGTGTGTGTGTGTGTGTGTGTGTGTGTGTGTGTGTGTGT